TTGTTCGACTCCCATGCTGAGACTGACATGGAACAGGGTCCTTGTTTATGTTGTGGCGTTCACTCTTCTGTGCATTTCACTTGTTATGTATGTTCCTGTCTCTGAAGATATCAAAGGATGTGGTGTGCTGTTGCCTGCTCTGTAGTGTGCTTACCTGCCAGTGCTTATTAACAAGGCTAGAAACTCTTGTCCACTTGGCTAATGTTTACTGTCAGTTTTGCTGCTGGACTGTTGTTCTGGAGCCAAACTTCAAAGCAGCTTGAATGTGGGTGGTCAGAGGGCTGGGTGGGAAGACACGCCCCTCCTTCCCTGGTTTTCTCTAACACCTCTTGTGGTAATGGCCTCCTGTTTTCTTCTGTTGCCTAACATGCCCGGGAATGTTATTCACTAAGTTAAAGTGCTTTCCGTTTTCATCCCATTTTTACTTAACCATCATTTTGTGTTTTTGTTTTTTTCTGTTTAGCTTTAAAGAAGAATAATATCACTAAATTTCCAAATGTTCACTCGAGGGTAAGGATTTCTTCTAGCACACCGGTGGTGGAGGATACACAGAGCTGGCAAGCATCACTTTTTACTTAGCTTCCTCCTCTCTCTGTATGCAGATCAATGGTTTCAATCTATGGCTGAGGGTAATACTGGTGAGAGTCTGACCGGGGAGACGTCTTTGTACCTCACATCCCAGTGATGTGAGGCTGAGCCTCTCTCTTGGACTCTTTTTGGTCTGCTTCCATGTTCTCAAGTGTGATGGCTTGGGCAGGGGTATTTGCTGATGATTCTACTTGCTTTGGGTGCTAGGCTGTCTTTCCCTTAACCCCTTCTTGGCCTTCTAGTTATTTGGTTAACCTCATTTTTATCTGGAGAAATTGAGAGCAAGTCCTGGCCAGGGAACATGGTATATAGTCTTTGAAGAAGGATTAGGGTTTTTTTTTTAGAACTAATTGCTCAGAGGACTCAGGAATCACCGAACTGCAGGTCACTGCATATCTTTAGCCAAAAATGGATTTCTGACCTTCCATTACCACTCTGGGAGAGGAAGCAGAGGCTAGAGAGAATTAGGGCATGCAAAACTATTCTTTGCTTGAATTTAGGAGTAGGGCAGAGTCACAGATTCCAATGAGTCAGGAGCTGGTGGGGACCATGCTGAACTGAGCACTTCTCAGCTCCAGCTCATTTTTGCCATTGTAGGAATTTAGGCTCAGTATTGGAGATCCTCCAGATTTCCAAGAGAAGTCAGAAATCCTGGTATTTATGTTAATTACCAATTTAAGTATCAGGAAACCATATTTAAAAATTTAAGTCCTGGAGGAGGGTGGTAGCAAACATTCTAGAAGCCAGGAAAATGACCCATCCATTTTCAATCTACTGAATAAAAAGGGATGAAAAAGATTGGCTGTTTCAATTCTGTTTGTTTGTTTGTGTTTCCCTTTCTAAAGATAGAATGTTTCCAAGCAGAAGCCAGTAATACTTAGTTAATGAAAGGGAAATGTAACTAATTAAGACAAGGGGAAAAAGTACAAAGCCAGCTTCAGTTTTCTTTTTCACTGTGTCCTGACTCCATTAAAAGGAGGCTATCCCTGTCGGCTAGGCTGCCTGCCTTATTCATCAAGAAAGCATGCTTTCCTGCTGAGAGTGCCTGCATAAGATAAAATTCCCCTTGTTCATCGCACTTCATCCCTCTGCAGCAATGCCTGCTTGAATGGATGTGCCGTGATCGATTCACTCACTCAACAAGGCGCTTTTTTATGACTAGGCATTCTGCAGTGCCTTGGCAGTGCAAATTGGAGAATGCAGAAGGGCCTATGCAACCTTTCCCGTCTAATGAAAACCAAACAGTTTGGGTGGCAGGAAAGAATGTTCAGGAATGGAGTATTATTTTGAGTTAATGATTACTTTTATTCAGTGCTTGAGTATTACATTTCTAATTTACAAAATAAAAAACTGAACTCGGCTAACTTTAATGGCATAAAAATAACGGAAGCCGTGTCTGCAAACTAAGCATAAGTTCCTTATATGATTGAAACTTTGGATAAGATAGGACAGGGTAGCCTGTTTTATTAATTTTGCAGTTTAAAATTCATCGCAATTGTTGTTGGTAGTCAGGTTTCTAGAAAGAAAAACAACTAAGCAACAGCTATTGCCAGTGGAAGAAACATTTCAAAATAAGACTTCAACTAGACTCTGGCCAGTGACGGAAACAATCTCCACTCATGTGTTTTTCTAAAAGACCCAGAATCACACCAGTATTACATCCTGTTCTGACTGTAAATATTGAAGGCTGTGTACATGTCTTCGGCTCAAATACTTAGTGAGTTTGAAGGGCCCATTAGCTGACTCTTCTGCACAAGCTGCTTTGATTGGCTGCCAGCTGGCCTTTGTCTTGCGAAGACACATGGTACTAGAGGTCGCAGTTCTCTCATCGGTGCTCTCCTCTCCACAGATCTTAGAAACCAACCATACAGACGAGCCGATGCGGTGAGGAGAAGTGTCAGGCGGCGCTTTGATGATCAGAACTTGCGTTCTGTTAATGGTGCCGAAATAACCATGTGAACCTGAGACCTGCCTGTATGAATAGAGGGTGTGCGTGAATGAAACTGTCCACGTGAATTTTATGTGCTACCATTTAACTGCAGCCTTGAACATAGATAAAATATTCTAAGGGCTCAGATTTAGCAAACACATAGGAATTTAAAAATGATGGGCTCTCTCAACCTTTGTTAACAAGTGCCTATAAAGTGGAAGTACCTGCTCAGATTAATCAAAGCAATAGGGTTTGATTTGATTACGTATCTTTTTACACCAGTATGTTATTTAATTTTTTTAACTAAAATAGAAATTTCATATTATATTCATTACCTGCCATTGTGATTGTCCCATGATGGCCCACCCTGGTTTCCTGATAAGTTGTAAATAACACGGATGCATCTGCTGTGGGCATCCTTTGCTGAGATGTCTTTTAAGTACTTAATTTTGTGTTTCAACCATACCCATCAACTTTCTCTATTTTTAAGGGCTTGCAACATAGAAGAAGGAAAAAGTCATGCCATAAACTCTTTCTGTCTATAACCAAGCCCCAGCAAAGTACAAACAGGATGCAGTTGCAGAGGTACACAAGTCAGTCAGCTCTTGTTTCATGTCCTACTTCTGTGCTGGGGTACGATGCCCTGGGGGAGACATTCATTGGTATGAATGAATGCAAGGATACGATGGCATACGGATGTTGTACAAGACTTATTGGCAGTACTGTGTTCTTCAGCTAGAGGCAGCTTTTTAAAAATACTGCAGATGTGTTTATTAGCACTAAAATTAACATCTCAGTAATCAGTATTAGGATTTCTGAGGACCATTATTGGTCAATCCTGAGAACAGAAATCAGTGCCTTGCTAGCCAGGGAGAAGTTCACTAGCTCTATCAACAAGCATTCCAGATTACTTCTGCTAGCATAGTGTTAGTAACCTGGCCTTAATTCTCCTCTGACAATCGCAGGTTTTTGTTTTTTCCTTTTTGTAGATTGGAGAAGATATATTTGGCATCACTTACCAAAGCTAAGAAATTCTCGTATTTCCCAGGTTACTTTATGGGAAATTGCAGTTAAATTGCTGAAATACTCACCTTGGGATTAAGCTTAAATGGTATGTAACGGGACTAAACGGCCAACAAAGCCACTGCTGTTTTTCCTTCCTCTCTGGCAGGGCACTCGATCCATTCCAAAGTCGAAAACTGGACTGAAGCTAATTTGTACTTTTCATAATATACATTCTGCTTCTGGCTTACCTTCTTGGTACATTACATCAATATATTAATTGTAAAGATTATTGTATAGTATTTAACCACTGAATTTCTTATTTTATGTTGTGCTCATGTGAACTCCTTGGTGAAGGTCCCATTTTCCTTGGATAATGTGTAGTTATATATCTCTTTTTAAATGTACAGATATTTTGCTATAAAATTGGTGCAGTTTTTTTATGGTTTTTACACTTCTCTTTAATTCCCACCTAAGCCTCTGGGTAATATTGTAAATATTGTTTAAAAATGCATCAGCCTATGCTATACAATCTGAATGTTATTTTAACTTATAGTTTTTTTTAATATATATATTTAACTACAAGGACAGCTTAGGGATCAGTTACCACATTTCACTTTAGCGTATCTATTTACAGAAAAATTAAACTGCCACCTGCTAGCACATTTTCATAAATGTGTACTTTAAAAAGAACATGCCAAGATTTTGTCTGTTGACTCACCATTCATTTTGATGAAAAAACCAATTTGACCATGAGATGTAACACAAATAGCTGGTTCTTTACCACAAGCAGCTGTTTTCCAAAGCTCAGTGCTGATGGACATACATGTTAAAATTATTGCCTATTTATTAATCGACAAATAGACAGCAATGTTGGCATGTTCTTTTGTTTTGTCTCTTAATGGGTCTGCTTCTTAGCAATATTAGAAATGTTTTATAAAAGCAGTTCATGTTACTTTTCTGGTCTTTTCATGGCATTTGAGCAAATAAACTATTTACACTACTATTCTGTAATACGTTGTAGTCTTTCAATGGTATATTTTAGGGGGGTCTGCCAGTTTTATGTCCACCCTCGTCATCTAGAAACAGGTGTCTTGTGCTTAAATCCATAACTAAATATATTCAGCACGTTTTAAGAAAAGCCCTTCCCTCTACACACATTTGCTCACTTGTCATATGGAAAGTAGGAACCAAATAGATTTTTAGTATTGAGTGATACATCTCCAGAGTCATAGTTGACTTTCTTCCTTCCAGAAAAACAGCACTCTTGTTTGGTGAGATACTGCCATTTGTTGTTAATGAGAATGTTTCGTATACACAGGCAGGCCTCACGTGGACTGCATGGAGGCACCCTGCACCTAACCGCCATGTTGGTTGGCAGGGTATGTACAAGCAGTATGACCCCCACTGCACACACACAGTAATATTTTTAATAATTCCAAGTCATTGGAAAAGTTTAGTATATTCTTCTTAGTACATTCATTTAACATTCTTTAAGGGAAGCAAGAAAATTTGTAATTCACTTAAAAATCTCTTAAGGGGCTTGAAAACAAGTTAGAAGGGTGTAAAAAAGTCTTGTAAGTAATTATTGTTGCATTAGGTCTTTGTTCCGGTTCCATGCTCTTTCTGCTGCACCAGTTACACAGTGTACAGGCGTACCTCCTTTATAGCGCTTTGCAGATTTTTTTTAATAAATTAAAGGTTTATGGCAACCCTGCATTGTCATGTTAGCATTTTTCAAGGAATAAAACATTTAGCTGAGACGTGCACTTTGTTCTTTTTAAAGACGTAATGCTATTCCACACTTAACATAGTATAGTGTATATATGCACTGGGAACCAAAAAATTCACTTTTATCTCAATAATCTGGAACCAAATTTGCAGTATCTCCAAAGCAGATCATAGTTGAAGCTTTATTTTATCAAGTGGGAGGGAAAAGTTAAATTCTGCAGTTAGTAAGACTCTGTTCTGTACCAGGACAAGTGCCTCATGGTGAAGGAAAGAAGGTCTTTCTGAATTGATAGAATATTAACATTTTCAAACCTAAACTACAGTAGTAAGTTCAATGAGACCGAGTATGGTTAGGTTTAGGACATTATAAAACAGTAACACTTATTTTTAAAGAGATTCACTAATGACCTAAGTCCCTTTGTTTCCCACTCCCAATCTTTGTGACCACACATCTAGCCCTTACTCCACTGAGATTCACTGCAGTGACACTGAAGTGATCGCCCAGTGATGCTGCTGACACAACACTGCTCAGAAGATAAAAAGGGACGTGATACCCATCACTGATTCTGCAGGTTCAACATACTGCATTGTGTAGAATGATCTAGTTTTTTAGATCTGTAAAATACACTTTTGTAATAGTAGCTTTATAACTCACATCTCAATTTTAAATTTGATAAAACAAAATGCTTCTTAGCCCTAATGTACTTGTTTTTATGTGCAGAGGTGAATTATCAGCCCACTATCAGCCCACTTCATAAAAAGGGATTGATCTTACATTTCTTTGAAAACTTAATACCCCATCTATTTCTAGGAAGAAATTTGAAGCAAGAAACAAATGCATGAACAAGTAAGTATTGACAAACTTTTTGAACTAACTTTTTATAGAGAAAAGCACGTATTACACTGAGAAAACAATGTGGGTGGGCATCTCATTTCATAGCACAGAACTGCTGCACGACAGTGCTCAAAGGAAAAAGTTGACACAAATCCAGTTACTTAGTAAAAGATGCCATTTTTTTCTAATAAATTATATTTATTTACAAAAGGTCTACTTTTATATAACTGAGGGTTTTTTTTTTACATCAGAACAATATATAAACAGAAGAGAAAATCTGGCAATTACAAACACAGAAAGTAGAAACATCCCCCCTATTACTCACCTTTCAGAACAAGTCTTTAGTTGTAGAGGTAGGCAAAAGATCAACACCTACCAAAAAGTTTGCAGGCAGGAACAAAAAATAAAGATGTATATAAATAGCACATTTAGATACCGCAAGAAGGATAAAAAACAGCATCAAGAAATGGCTTAGTTTGAGTCTGTGACTAGGCAGCCACTCTACAGTTGGACTGAAAACTGGAGTGAGGAGTGAGCCAGTTCCTTTGAAATGCAAACATCAACCTTAAACTGAGGGCCATTACCATCAGATGAACAGTTACCAATCACTAACAATGATGGGATGGCCTTGTTATTAGATCATATTGAGTCACGAAAGCAGCATTGATGTAGCAAGTTTAAAAAGCACAGAAAATCTGCTGCAAGTGAGGAACTTAAGCCAGGTAGACAAACCAAGTGAAATGGAAGGCAAAGGGGAAGTGTGTGGGTAATTGGAGCAAAATCATCTCATTTCCCACCGCACCTTTTAAGTCCGCTCCAGTAACCTTTAAGTTTCTAGCTCACCATTATTCACCCCTTTGTCAAAAATAGCCTGAAATGATTAGTTCTCAGCTTAGAATTTAGATAGGAATTTTGCTCTTTTGTTCATTAGGACCTTTAAAGGTCAACCCTGATCTAGCCAAATGTTAGCTCTTCAAATAAAAGCTACTAACCTACTATGGTAATACATGATATGAAAGAAGTTATGCTTCAAACCTCACAAGGGATTTCCTTTCCTATTCAAAAACCACATGGAAGTTGTATGTTCTCATATAACAAGCTTTTGGAAGTTTATGAAGTAACAAGATTGAGGTACAGTCACTAGAATTTCTCTCTGGTGCACTTCAATTATGCATGTGGCTTTAGTTTTGAGTTACATGGTTTATTGCAACAATTCTTTTTTAAGCCCTTTAATACAGATGATGGGTACCATGGATGCTGGATGAGTACATCTGTCAACTAATGTTTTACATTCACTCAGTAAATGCCTACTATGTGCCAGGCACTATTCTAATTCACAGGATACAGCAGTGACTGAAACGCAAATCCTCGCCCCCAAGGAATCTGACCACCATTTAAGTCAAAACAATTGAAAAACTTAAGAGCAAGGTAAGAATAAGGAAGGTAAGAATTATTAGACTGGTACATGCCATTACCAGAACTACAGAATGAGACCATAAACCTATTAGAACTCAGTTCAGTGAAAATTACTGTTATTTTGCTTTTCTTTTATGTAAAATGAGTCCAGTTTTACATAGAGAATGTAGAAGAAAATTCTACTTGGTACTAAGAGATACAAGGGAAAAGAAAAATTCTAATTTAAGACATAAGGAATTAATGTGCTTTGCCTTATTTTGCTTTTAGAAATATTTATTTAGCTCTTTAGTTTTTTAATTTACATTTAAATTACATAATATACTTTAATACCCTATAAACTCATAAAAAAGCATTAATCACTCCTCTCTGGGTCCTATTTGTTTAAAAACAGTTCTCTCTTAAATAGCATCCAAGCCTTAAATAAAAATCCTAATCTAAAAGGGCTACCCCTTTCTGGATGCAAAAATAAAAGTGGCTGCCCAGTCAGCACTCAGTTGACCGTTAACACTGGAGGAAAACTAGGATCATCTAGGAAAATGCTAAACACAGGATGCAGACCCTTTGGTAAATGAATGAAAACTATGGACCTTCTTTCCAGAAAAATGTACATAGATGTTTGAAGAATGTTTACAGTTTTACCACTGTCAATTAAGATGGCCTTACTCTAGGCTAATCCTTTTCATTTGATAGTTCTATAAAATGAGGCCCAATTAGCAAGTCAAAAGATAAAACAGCTGTGATACTTTGGTAATTTTCAAATTTACTGGGAGGGATAAAGTATTTTTATTATTGAAAGACATGAAAACTCTACATGCTGAAGATACTTTTTGGATAATTATGATGAGATGCTGTCACTACTTTAAAAAAAAATGTGGGACCACTGCTTTTATTTAAAAGTATTAAGCTGCTTAAATACACGTGGGAAAGGTGCAAAGAATTCATACTTAACTATCAAATATTTGAGGTTTTGATTTTGACTATTAAGTATGATATTAAATGTAGTAGTGAATTTAATCCAAGAGTTCATTAATATTAATGATAGTGAGGGAAGATAAGCCCTCAACATTTACCTAAGAGACTGAGGCTTAACTGTGTGTATCTGAAAATAAGCACACTTTCTTATTTGAACACATTTTGAACCTATCTGTTCAACTCTTAATAGAACCAACATTCCAAGACATTTCAACTTTTACCAGACTGAAGGTTTAGAAACCTAATCAAATGGATTAAAATACTCACTCAGAACTCTTGTTTTAATAAAATCTTCCCATCACTTGTACCTTCAGACAATAGTATCTTTCTGGCAACTAAATGCCAATGGATGGGTTTATTACAAGTAGACAAGGATTATAGTTACTTCTGTTACATCTTTCATAACAAGGATGTTGTATTTTGAGTTGCAATATTTTCACTGGCTTTTAGGTCAGATAACTTTCATGGGTGAACTATAAGGAAACTTGAATTTGTATTGTCTTGTAGGGATTTAAGGTTGTGGTAAGACAGTGTCTCTATTAAGAAATACAGAAATCTAATTTGAGGACATGCTAAAAACACATCAATAACTTTTTATTTAAATAGAAGAATCAAAACTTTAAAGTTACTTAAAAAATCATTCATGGAAGTAATTAAAACAAAGTTTAACACATTCTAAATTCTCTTGTGAAATATCACTAGTATTTTTGCCAATATCATATGCATATTTTAAAGTTTTTACTGACTTCCATGTAAAGTGTTTGACATGATAAGCAATATTAACTATGATTATGATGAGACCTCTGAAAATTAAGTCTAGGCAACTTCCCTGTTGCCAAAGTTGTTATAATGTTTTGGTTCTAACATACAATAGGAGACTAACCTGAAGCAAGCAATTGATTATTTCACATTTTCTAAAGATAGGGATTTCACTTTCTACAAAGTCATGTCATATTTCACAGCAGAAAAATGACTTAGCAGAGGGAAGTTCAGAAACCACCTCCCCTCTCACTCATCCACAGCGGATGCTAGATTTGATTCAAATACAGGAGGCAGGGATGGGAAAGAGTCATCCTGGTCAGTCCCACTTTCAAATTAATTAGGATGGTGAAAGAAAAATAAAATGAAGTTTTTATTCTTCTAAATCCTAACTTAAAATAGGATTGCCCAAAATGTCTAAAATTAAAAAAAAACAAAACCTAAGATAATACCAAAGACTATGTGCTAAAATTTACTTATTTACTTTAAAAAAAAAATCTCCTGCACTGAAGGAAAATAGTATAAAGTACATTACCAACCTTCAAAAGTTAGCATGTAAAGAGTATTCTAGCTTCAAACCATTGCCTTTCTTAAAGTATTCTATAGGAAATTCATGGATCAAAAACAAATACAGGGGCCTCAAATGCACTGATTAATATAATAATCTTAAATATCAAAAAAGAAAAGTAACTTAGCTCTGTGGGTAAGATGAAGCAAAATTTCAGGGATTTAGTATCTTAATCTTTAAGTGATCATACAATTTTTTTTTAGAGTTGAGCAGTTTAAGTAGAAATAAATACTAGTACACGCTAGAAGAGAAGGTTTAATAATTGATAAAAAATGTACAAAAATATTCAAATCAGAAATGCTTTAGAATGTGTACCATGAAGTCAATACTTCTCAGTGAATAGGGAAGGTAAAAACTTCCTCAATGAAAAAAAGCAAGAGAAAAGATCGGCTTAAAAAAAAAAAAAGACAACTGTTAAATTGTTTAAGTCAACAATGATTTTTGTTTTAGACAAGGATATTGCAACCATCACCTAAAGTTTGGTGGCACATTCTTTAGTAGGTCCTTAAGGCAAGATATTTAAACTAATTTACAATTTGATTTGATGTTAACTTTTTAAACATCACCTCAAAATAATGCCCTCACAATAGCCTTTTTAAAATGTATTCAGATGTTTCATAAAAAATAATGGTGGCTTTATTATAGTAGTGCTCATTAGCACCACTACAGTTAAGGGTCTACCAGGTTTCCATTAAGAACACCTATTTCTGAGTTCACCATAAAAGATCACGTCGGCTTTTACCAGTCGGGTAGTGCACAAAAAAGCAGTTTTATCAGTTGCTGGTGCTTTTTTTTGTACTACTAGGTATCAAAAATTTTTTATTATATCTTCAAAATCCAACTTCTATAAAGTAAATCAAATCACCTCATGACTTAGACTTTAGAACAAAGTAGAGACATCTGCAGTTATCAGAAAATTGCCACCTTTAATCCATCCTGCAGTGCCCTATGAAAGGGTCACAGAAAGACAGTTATGACCGTATGAAAATATGATTCTTGATACAGAATCAAAAGTTATTTTCAATTTCCTTTGCTTTTATAAAGTCCACAATAACAATACTTAAATGCACTTTTTTTTTCTGTGATATAATTAAAACCCAGTGTTATTTCAACTGAACTTAAAATAGAGTCCCTGGTCTGAATTAGACTTTAAATCATACTGTAAACATATTTGGTATAATTTATTGATCATCATCCAGTTGCTCCAAAAGGGTCCTTCTGCGCTTTTCCAATTCCCCTTCACTCAGTTCACTGCCAGAAGTATCCCAATTACCCTGAAAATAAAATTACATTTGAAGTCAGTACTCAAAAGGTTAAATAGTGATGAAACTTTGAAAAAAGAACCCAAAACCTATACAGATTCTCTTCTACAAAAACAAACACACCACAGGATTTAAAGACTGACCTCTTTCCTAAAAGCCTGTTAATGGGTTAACTAAGTACTCTTTGCTTGTATTATGGGATATACTTAGAATTCTGAGACTTCTCTTTACTTCTCGGTTTACATTAATATGTATACCAGGGAGAATAGTTCATACTAGTTTATAAATGTAAAACATCTTGTTTCTATTCAATGGAAGCTGGGTGTTCTATTCCTAGGTATTATATCCTTGTTAATTTTTCAGATTCTAGGTTGCCCTATAAGTGTTTTATATTACAGAAAAGTAGTATGCTGTAATCATACTATTGTGCCCAGATAAGCATTCAAGATTTATGAGCAGGACAACACTTAGGCTGGAAAAAAATTTAGAAAATAAAAGTACTGCATTATCTGTGAGAAAATTATCTGAATATTTTCAAATTATCTTTGAAAAGTAGACAGTTCACCTCTCTTCCTTCCTCCTCTACAGATTTCACTTAACCTACTGTCAGGAAGAAACTATTAAGCTGCCAAGTAAGCATAGAGGAAAACATTCATTCCTCGCCACGGATGTGCATCAGACTCACCAGTGCAGCTTTAAAAAAAACCAAAAACCTCCACCCTATTCCCACTGAGTCAATATCCAGAGGGAGGACCAGGGCTTATCTATACAGTTTAAACTCTCAATTGGTGATTCAGCGGTATTACACTTGCTAAGCCCACAGCACTGGTAGAAGGAATGGCAAGGTGAAAAAGGCATCTTACTGTGCTCTGGCATACACAAACACACACACACACATATGGGAAACTAAGGATTAATTTTGTAATTTGATATTAAAATAGTAGCTTTGGCTTATATGATTCTCCTATCCATTTGCCCTCACCTCTCCTCTCTAATGATTAGTTACTGGGGAGCTACAGAATTTTTTTTTTTAAGGAATATAAAATTTAGGATGCTTAAATTGGGTCATTCATGATCACTTAGGTTAGAAAACTATTTTGTGTGAAAGGCAGTTAAATGACACTTTTGTATTTTGAAAATACAGATACGAAAGAATTCTAAATAAATACTTACAGAATCCTTTCCAGTCTTTTTCTTGGGTGATTTGTGTTTTGATTCTGATCTTTGTCTAGTTCTATCTTTTTCGCTTTCCCGGTCTTTTTCTTTTTTATCCTTCTCTCGTTCAGCATCTGACTCTGGAGAGTCCTGTGTAAATAAATAAAAAAAAAAGTTAGCATTTTGATGAAGAAACCATTCTAATTTTTAAAAAATCCTTATGTAGGTAATATTTACATATTATAACAGGGTATGTGTTCCTAGAGTGGTGAAATTTGAATTGTGAACCTCAAGGATTCTGCTACACTCCCAGGATTCACAGAAGGATGATGGTCTTTCCTATGGGAAGGATGACTGACATTCTGGTAAGAGTAAAATACCACTAAAAGAGCTTCACTAAATTAGAGATGAAGGTACATTTAAGTCTTAGATACACATCAAGATACACGAATCTTGAGAACTGAGAGTAGAGGAAGAAGCTGTGTAGACATTTAAACTGTGGTTCTCAACAATAGCTGCAATACACCAGTATAAAACACACACACACGCTTGGGGCATTCTCTAAGGTTAATGCAAAAAACCAGAGTGGGAATCTTAACACTGTTTATTATTAATCTACCAGAAGATTTCACTGGTAGATTAAGGTGAACAGACTACAGAACTCTTGCGTTTAGGTGCCCTGGCCTGCACTGACTACAAAGGACTAGATAGAAAATCAGGCTCTAAGCCACTGAGGAAGTTTAAGGGCAGAAGCCGAGGTGCAGGAAGAAAATTAAGAGGTTGCTTACAGATTTATGTCTTCTCTTCTTGCTTTTCTTCTTATGTTTTTTTGACTTCTTATAACTTCTCTCTAAAGCAGGATGAAAAGAAAAAAAAGTCAGAATTTGAGGACATCCAAGTGTCAATGATTTTAATCAAGTTAAAAGATACGTTTACCAGATTCAGCGCTAGAAGAATGTTCTGAAGCAGAACGAGACTCTGATCGCTGTCTTTTTTTCTTTGAGTGGCTGTCATCATCATCTGAATCTGACCCCTAAATAATACAAATAACATTTAATTCGTAATGATACTAACAAATATTTCAATATTCAATACACGTGTGGTGCACTTTTAAATAAACTTCCTTACCGATCGAGAACGGGAACGTTTCCTGTGATGTTTTTTAGATTTTTTAGAATGTTTCTTGTTCTTTGAATGATGATGTTGACATTCATGCTACAGGAGCAAAAGAAAAAAATTTCAGAAGTTTACACTTGACAGAGCAGATCATAAAAGAATAACTAGCTTTACAAATAAGTTCTCAGAGTAAAACTGCTTTCATTTTGCATATCTGGGACGTATTCCCCTCTTGAAACTGAAAAGAATTATCACTTAAAATGTTCTCTTCTGTTCCGTAACTATCCTGTACTCACTCATTTAGACCTCTAAACACAACAATGTTTAAAAATATTAATAAATACTTTTTGTAGCAATGAGATAGTGTGGGTTCAGCAGAGACAACTGATACCCTACTTTATAAAGGCACAATCTCTAGAAAAGTCTTTCAGAAATAATGAAATTCAATTACATTCATACATGATTTGGTGAATGTGGCTTTGGTCAGCAAACTGAGCTCAGCACTGAGATAAACAACTACCTCAGAACTATCTTTTAAGATACAGGAGGTTGGTCTCAGAAATTAAATGCAAAATCTATTCTTTGATTAAACCCATGTGGCATTCCCTTCCTAGTCAAACTTAAGACATCCAAAGGCAATCTAGTAACTAATCCCACATGAAATCAGAAAGAGAAATGTTATCTCTTTTAACTCTTTTACTAACTCAGTTACCAGGCTAGTAACAAATAGGAAATGCTGCAGCAAAAGCTCCTCGTCTCCAAACACATCTAAGGCTTTGAAAATTGTTTTACTTTACAAGTAAGTGGAAATGAAAAATCTAGTAAAGGGACTCTGATTTTTTTTTTACGTCACTGAATGTCAATTCTCCCTTTCTTCCTCAAGGCCCAGATTACTGGGATCCAAAACGTATTCCAGTATGTTCAGCCCTTCCCTATGCTACATCATTAGCTCCATTTATGACCTCACCACTTGATTCTCAGCACAGGTCATGAATCTTATTGAAGATTCTTGAATTGGGGGAAAATGTTAAGACACTACCTAGAACAGAGCTTTTCAAAATTAAATGTACATTTTAGTGCCTGAAAATCTTGTTAAAATGATTCTGATGCAGGATTTCTGCCGAAGGGGCCTGAAGTCCTGCACTTCTAAAGAGCTTCCAAGTAATGCAGATGCTGATATGAAACATATTTTGAGTAGGAAAGATCTAGAGGCCAACAGAAGTAGATGGAGAGGCAGCTGGGAAACTATATACAATACATGTGGGTACATGTTAACTGTTGTCAACATTGATATTCAAGAAAAATAAATCCTATGAAATAGTCAACAGTGTATTAAGTGACCTGCAATACCCCATGACCATGCAACACTCTAATATTAAGTACGTGCTAGCTTTCAGCTTTTCTGTAAGGTATCAATTTCTTTATAACTGACAGCATAGCATATCTGTTAAAAGCACTGGCCCTTGAGTCAAACCACCTGGGTTGGAATCCCTTCCCCGCAAATTGCTTTCTCTCTGCCTCAGTTTGCTCATCTATAACTTCATAGGGTCGTCAGCATTAAGTTCATATATGTAACATGTGTAAAACAATTAGAACAGCTCTTGGCCCACATAGGCACCAAATACTATTATTCAGTAACTACTGGTCAATTAACCATACTTACTATCTACAAGTGCCTACCTGAAATCTTCATCAAAATACCCTTAATTCAGCTAACAGAGCAACTGGCAATTTTATCATTACTTTAACAAAAACTTACTACCTTATTCCACTTAAAGAACACCCCTGTCTAACGTAGTATAGTATTTGAAATGTGCTTATTAGAAGTTGTTTTCTATCTGCTTTTATAAGATTTTAAGTTCTCTTCAGGTTTACTAGCCATTCCATGTGATTGCTAAATTGCTGAATTCCTATAACATTGTAAAAATATGAAAAAGTAGGAATAGTTTCCATAAACAAATCTCTATTTCCATGCAAGCTTAGTTTTTTTCACTTAAAAGCAGTTTCTATAGAATGCCATCCCAGGTAGTAAATACTTTTGTATAAAAGCAGTGTAATTTAAGAAACACACTTTGATCATTCTAAATTCTTCAATTTTTGTTTGTTTTTATATATTTTGTAATATTTCAGCCGCTTAGGAGAATACTAAAATTACCTCAAGCACATGCATAAAATCTTTAAATATTCGTTTCCTTTCAGACTCTAGAGTTATGTCCTCGAATGCTGGCTCTTTTACAAATCTCTCCCGGATCTGAAAAATTTAGATAGGAAACAAATGTGTGAATACATAGAAAAGTGTACCAACATGACTAAAAGGTATCATAGCAAGCGAAAACTGTGACAGCCCAGTTCCTCTCAAAGCCTTTATTTCCTCCCCTGTAGTATTCCTAAGTGTAGTCAAGCTGACTTTATACTCTTCAAATAATTTCAGCTTATCTTTGTGGCTATAGGCTATAAAATGGGAAAGAAATTACTTAAATCTTCAGTTGTAAAGGAAGCGTTTATTAGAAAAATTTTAGTAGTATACATACATCTTCCCAGACAGCATCCAATTCTATTGGAGGAGTAGCTTGTTTCAACATACTCTTAAATGCAGATTCTTTTCGTTTCATCTTCCGAGCCTCCTCTTTTTCTCTTTCACGTTCACGGGCTTCTGCCTTTTCTAGTAACTTTTTAAAAATCGTATTTAATCAGTTATAACAGTACAATTGCAATTTGTGAATTAACTGAAATAATTCATTATTCTGTAAGTATTCTCCCATCATCTGTAAGTTAAGGGCCAACTTATAACACCAGTTAATTTTAGAAAAGGAAGCATAACATCAGCATCACCTAAATACACTTTCTTTTACACTTTACCCTGGAAGACTGTCCACTAGTCTGTAAAGCCCTATTCTTATTCCCTTGTTTGAATGGCCTTCATACATTATTAAAAACTGTACTAATAATCTGTTTATAGCAATAAAGATGATAACTTACACTATTGAAAGCCAACTTAATATTTCCAGCATCTAACGTGGTTGATCTCTTAGTTGAGCTGATTATTGCCACAAAGTCTTCAAAAGTAGTATTTACTTCAACTACAAATCCTTTATCCTAAAAAATGGAAATCTTGTTAATATTAATAACATAAATCAAAGGAATACAGTATTTTTAAAAATAAACTCCAGAGGAACACTTAATAGCAAGTATCCTGTTTACCTTTAGAATGTCTTTTATTATCTTCTTCTCATCATGGTAACGTGCTTTAAGATCCTCAACATAAAACTTGAAAAGGTCAAGTGCAGTTGATCCTAATGAAAAAACTAAAGAAGTCAAAAGCTAGCTCTAATCAAAGAGCTGCAATTACTTTTTTTGTTTATAAAACAAAAGAAAGCACCCCCCTCCCCCCAACACAACCACCTTTCCCTCTGTCCCATTTCAACTATCGTAACTACAAATTAGGAAAGAAAGAATCTCACCCGGCTGACCAAGCATATTAGTGAATCTAATATCAGAACTAATTGTTGGATACAACTCCATCCAAGACGACATAGAATGCAGTTGTCCATGTTCATGCAGTTCATCTAAAAATATCTGGGGGAAGGGGACAACAGTAACAAAATAAACCCATTATATACTGAAAAGCCATCTTCAAGGACATTAGAAAAACAGTTTAACATAGATGAAAACACACATTAAAAACATCGGAACATTTAAAACTCTTCTAAAGAATACTTGCTCTTTGGTGAAAGTAAAATCTGCTATTCGGCAAAAAAATTATTTTGTACTTCAGAGAAAAAAACCCTTGAAAAATTAATTACCTTTCCAAGTTTTGGTTTACTGACTTTTAAGGTAGATCATCATTTCCAGTTTAAAAATTTATGTGCAAATAAAGTCAAAACATTGGATATTATCTCAAATGAAAAAGCTAAAGAATATGTAATCATGTTTAAAGTTTTAAAATGTAATACCTAATGTGTTCTGGGCATTTTCTTTTTAATTTGATTTTATTTTCTAAGAGGAAGATACACAATTTTACCAAAGTGATACATTTAATAGTTTGGGGACTAGGACTCAACCCCCATATCTAATTTCAAAACCTTTTCCTTTCTTTCACAGTACTACTATAACTTAAATTTTTATATTCTCACTCCAATTTCTTCTCTTTGCCCTTTTTTTACTATTTGCTGACCTTCAGGGCAACATACTGGGATTTTAGTCCTCAGCAAGTTCCACATTTCCTGCTTCCCCAAATCCTTAGGGAGTTAATCCTATAAACAATGTCTATAAAAAATTACGGTACAAATTCTGCTCCTAAAATTCCTGTACCTGCACTGCTCAATATGGTAGCCACTAGTCAAATGTAGCTTCTGTAAGTATTATGAAACATGACTAAAAATCTGAACTGAGATGTGCCAGCCGTATATAACACACAATGTTATATTTTGAATATTTATTTTGAATATTTATTACCAAAAAAATAAATTTTTAAAAATATTGATTGATTTAATATCTCTTATGAAGAATTTGCAATGGTTTAAAATAAGGAGAACTATATGATAAAATACAATAAAAATAAGGAAATCTGGGCCACAGAAAATATAACAAGAAGTACAATAATACTAGGACTAAAGAATGTGAAGGAGAAATCCTAATTTAAAGGCCACACAGGTCTTTTAGCTAAACCTTAAATATGGCTGTATATCAGATTAGCATGTGTCTGGCATGGCTTCTGATCACTACTGATACAGGCGGTGTTACCATGTTAAATTGGTTGTGCTGCAGATATTCAGCTCAGTAATTTTTCTCTGCTACTATCCTTCCTGTCAAAAGGCATATTCAGAACATCAGTAAAATGAATTAAAAGAGACCCGAATCAAATTCTGGGTGCGGTAACAATCCCTGGTTTTAATAATACTCTGAATTGATCCCTCGGGAAACCACTAAGATAATAAAAGGAACCCATCAACAGTAGTAAATGTTAAGCTTTTACAGAATTAGGACTGAAATAATGCTATTGGCTGTGACGTTTAAGATGATTAATGATCTTTGGCACAGTGGGGAGTTTTCTAAAAGCACTTTAAAGTGATCTAAAGCAAGCTAAGTTTTGAGAACCACTGCTTTAGGGGATGTCAAGGTATTTCACCCTACACCAAACAACTGTTCTTTCAAGAAATAAAACTTATTTAAGCCACTGTAACTTAGTGCTTAGCCTAATACAATGCTTAATGAAAGAGACCCTATGATTGAAAGATGCCACAGATTCAAATTCTGGCTCCACTACTCAGTAGCTGAATTTGGGCAAGTACTTCACCTCTCTGAGCTCATTTCCTTAACTATTTAAACGGACGTGACAAAAACAGTACTTACTTTCATAAGATACGGCTGTCATAAAAATTAAGAGGTTATAAATTTTAAATGTAAGCAATCAACTAAGTCCAACTACTATATTATTACTGAAATGGGAATCTGGTGAAATATAAAATGTAAAAATGCACTGCTCCATGATAGTCTCCATTACTGAGAGTATAAAAGTGATACCTGGAGGTAAAAATAAGCCACTGGCCTATATAAAGTATATGTAATTTTAGATCCTCTGTATAGTATTTAAGAAATTATGGCCCATCCTCATAACTATACCACAGCATTCCCTATGGTTTTCTAGAGCCAAAAATAACCAATTAGTATCAATGACACATCCCACATTTTACTTTCAGTCTTCCCTCATATTATTCCTCTTTCCCAAGTGAAGCATCATCTATTAGGACTCACTCTGAATACCAAGCCTGCTACAGTTTATGTTCCCCTAATCTGAAATGGCTACTCTCCTTGAGTGCATTCATAACTAACTGTAGAACTTAAGAGCTAAATGTGTATGGATCCTGTGCAAAGCCCAAGTTAATGATCTGTGAGATCAGCATTCTCCAAATTGTTTCTATCACTGTTAAAGCTCACTAGCCACATTATAAAATTAAGCTAGAAAGCAGTTTTTTTTAATTACCTGAAAAGATTCTCTATTTTTACGCTGTCGTCTCCTTTCCCTCAACAAACTCTTCTGTTTTTCTTCTTCTTCTTCCTTTTCTAAAGCCCGAATGTGTTCTTCAAAGCAAATTAATGCATCTTCTTTATCCATGTCTAGAATTTTTCAGTTAAAAAAAATTTAAATGTCAAGTAACAGTGAACAGTTTAATTTTTTGAAGTAACTTCCTACAAAGTTCAAATTCATTTTACCAGAATACTTCTATTTAAGCTCAAATATGACTTTTAATTATCTAAATAGGAAATGTTTAAGGAAAAATTTCAAAATGACCTCATTAAAATAAGACACTCTGAATCCAAGGATGAAACAAAGACAATGCATATGACACAATAAAAATAAAATTATTATGACTCAATTTGTCAGCAGTATCAGAATTACCCAAAGAGCTTTTCAAAGTATAGAATGCTAGGCCTTATCTCAAACCTACTGCAGCATGGTATTCAGAGGGGTAATCAAGAAGGCTATAATTTAAAAACCAACCAGGTAGGTCAGAAAAAGACAGAACCTAGTGAAGCTTACTGTAAAACGATGCTAATGCATTTTTTTGCGTTTTGTAAATTTCTAAAGCCATTAACCTCAAGAGAACAGCATGAGTAAAATGTGGTCATTAATTTGGTTCCCAGTAAGTCACATATAATGGCAAAGGACAGTTTCAGGCTTAACATAATAAATATATTTCAAGGATTATCTGATAAAGCTAACTTCAGATTTTGAGAAAAATATTTTGTCCTGAATCACAAAACTCAATTAGAAATAAATATCCTATTTGGAAGCACATAAAACACTATTTCAGTAATGGACAATTATATAAAATTCAGTTTCTGATATCATTAAAGAGCATTTTTCACAGCTGGACTGCTTTTTGTACTATCTCCCACTTAGTCATCATTCTTACTCTGTAATTCCTCATCTTCTGCAAATGTTGGATTATCCATCAGATACTGCTGGGCTTCAGACCAAGTAGTAGAGTATGTTACATTAGCCATGTTGTCAAGTATGTTTTTCAAGGCTTCCCAATTCCTTTTTCGCAACTGCTTTGCTTGCTCCTAAATTTTAAGTATGAAAGTATATTTTAAAGTTCAAAGAAAGTATTATATCTGAACGGCAATTAGTGAATATTTCTCCACATTCTAACTGATTACCAAATTTGAAACGTTACCCAATTACTTTAAATACCAACACTATTGGCATTTCCAGTGCTCTTCCCTAACTTCTTGGCTTGGTACTTAAGTTCTATTTTTTTTTTTTTACCTCTATTCTAAAGCCGGAATCTGGAATTCTCCCTCCCCCCAGCTCCCTCACAAAATCTCTCTTTCCACAACCATGCATTATAGACACAGTCTAAACTAAAGTTACTGCAGATAAATCACACAATGGGTAAATGCTAATGTATTCAACCACTTTCAGTTATTGTCAAATTTTTGTTAATAATACTGACATTTCTGTAAGTCTCCTGGAAACACTGCATAATACACAACTTAGTGCATAACAAAACAGACATGAGCAAAAGAGGTGCTTTAGAATACTGTCCTACAAATACATTTCATGGTAACACTTTACTGCCATTCTGATAAAAGAATCAAATAAATGCATAGTAAGTAAAAATACTGAGTATATTTTAAACCTAATGAGCTAAGAAAAAAGGGTATTCTTCAAAGTGGGCATAAAACAGCCAATTAATGACAACTTAAGTATTAGTTGCATAAACCTCTACCTACTTTGTTCACATAAATACTTAACTATATAGGTGCTATTTTTAAGCCTAACTTCTAATAAATAGCTCTGCTGCACCATATAACCTAGTCGATAAAACAACAAAAATGGATCATGTAATAAAGTAACTCAATTAGAAAAAAGAAACATCTTGTTTTATATAAAAATACCAATAAGAGTGAAGAATACCTTTTCTTTTTTTGAAAGAAAGAATAAAACATCTTCGTAGATTTCAAGACGATCACGTTCTGATATTGCATTCCAGACTTCCATCTCTCCAAACATTTGCTCTGCTTTTCTATTCATTAAAAAAGAGTAAATGTTACTCTACATTATACAATAAAAATTAATTTTAAACGACTTTAATTTTATACTAAACTTAAAACCACTATTCTTTTCCACTCTTAAGTTCATGACTATATTATAAAAGAAAACTTTTGGATAATTAAGAAAAATAACAGTTTAGGCCTTGATTTCTCCTTAGATATAGAGGGGTAATTCCAACAGAGTAAGGTGTTTTGTTAAGACTATCTCTACTTCTCAGGGTAGCTACAGACTATCAAACTGCCCATGGAACTAAATTATAGATTTCAAAACACTGTTAGAAATTTAGTTAACAGATAAAACATGGCTATTTAAAGAAATGAAGAGTTCTTCACTAAGGCTTTTCTGTAAAATTGAGGAAAATAAGAAAACACAAAGGGAAAATGAACATTAATAGCCTATTCTAAAAATGTTAATACTGAGTTATCAACAATTTTAAATAAAGCACTCCAAAATAAAGAGTGCTATATAAAAGTGGATTTTCAAAATGCTATATACATAATGAAAGTAGCCTATTTCTATTTCAGAAATATAAAAACTTTCAATTGTTATATTAAGGAGAAATGAGTCAAACTTTGACTATTAAGTGAAATCTTTTCCCCCATTTTGTTCTAGTCAAGAACCCAAAAGTCTACAGATTCCACATTTAATTACTGACTTATCTTTTACCTTATGAAACTGCCACATTCACAATCATAGCTCTATTTAATAAGCATTCAACTCTGGATTAGTTACTAGACTTGGCAAAAAGTATGACACAGAAAAAGTGTAGCAAACATACATTATCATCACTAAAAATCTTACTTGTATCTAGTTGTTGAAGTCATTTTTTCATGATTTTCAAGAAAACGCTGAAAGGATTCCTTAGCCTCTTTGTATTTAGATCTTGCTTCTTCTTTTTCTTCTTTCTCTGTCTGGACTTTATAAGCATTAAAGGCCTGCTTTTTTTCACTCAACTTTGCTAAAGCACTGAATAGAAAAATATGTAAGAATAAATGAAGGCAAGATGATCAACTGTTAGTGCTTTGAAAAAACAACAGATTTCATTCAGAAATTCAGAAAACTTCAGTAGGTTATTAAAGATAAATGATTACAGAGAAAAATTTCTACTTTACAAGTAATTCTACTAACATTTGTACTATCAGACATAAAACAACTTTATTATTGGTATCCAAAATAACAGAAGAAAATGGGAGTGAAAATTTATATTATTTTACACAATTTGAATTTTCCAGGCTTACTAAGCTCAAGGTGAAAAGTAAATTTAAAAAATTTAAAGTATTACCTGTATCGTGGATCATTAATGATCATTTTCATAGCTTGCTCCCATGAAGCATTAGATGGTACCCGCTGAAAACCATTTAATGAAAAATTAAAATTTCGCACAAATACAGTAAAAGTCACACAACAGGGAACAAAGTATAATACTCACTGCAAACATCAAGCACTTCCCTTTGCAAGAGTTTGAAAAGGGTCTAAAAGAATAATTTACTGAAGCAAGGCAAATCTGTGTAATATACATAGACTAAAAAAGAAAACTTAAACTGAAACTTAAACAGAGCATGAGTATTTTTTCTTAAGACTACTGATTAGAGGATAAAACAATTGTTATGAATAAAAAACCTGTGCTATATAACTACCTTGTACTTTTTTTTTTGGTTAAAAGTCAGTTTCACAAAAGAAATTCAATAGAAACAAGACAAATTTAGCTCATTTTCGGTGACAATAGTTTATAAGATTAGTATTTTTAATAAAAGCATCAAAGCACTAATTGCGTTAAAGGGTAATTTCCGTTATTAGATACATATTACATGTCATATGAAAAATCTATAATATAAATACCTTTTCTTTCAATAGTTCTTTAAATGCTTGCTTTGCCTCCTCCTTTGTATTCCAAGTGTATGTTTTTTTTGCTGGTTGGCTTTCCTCCTCTTCTTTTTTCGGAGTAAAACTAGAGAGAAATTCATATGTTATATTTATAATTTAAATAAACAACTGCTTCATTTAGGAAAATAATGTTGTAATTATTATTTAAGTATCTGATGTTGAGATAAAATTGGACAATTTTAGAATAAAGTCTCCCATATAAGTCACATTTACTGGAACATAAAAAATAAAGGTAAAACAGTTTTTTTTCTGTAACATTCAGTTATTAAGACCTTGCAAAAAAGCCAAAATAAACATTTACACTGGAACACTAGTTCCACTAGTCCGTAACTTAAAACTTTCAAAAGGCTGATAAATCTTATTCAATGTCCTTATATTAGTGCCTTAATAAATGAGGATTTGGATAAGTGTTCATAAAATATAAAAAATACGTAGAGATCAATTTAAATTGGGGTTGGCAAACTATGACCCAAGGCCAAATCCAGCCGGCTGCTAATTTCCATAAATATAGCTTTACTGAAACATGGCCCTGCTCATGAGCTTACATATTGATCATGGCTGACTGTTTACTACCACAAAGGAATGAGTCATTGTGACAGACTACATGACCCACAAAATCAAAACTATTTACTATTTGAAGAATATACTCAAGAATTATCAACTATACTTTTTTAGGGGCTCTATATGAAAATGTTGTATAATCTTAACATTTCTTTCTATATAAAAAGAATGCAGAAAAATCCAAAAACAAACAACCCCTCCACCCCCTTTAAGTTGAATGCTTAGGGGAAGATACTGGAGTGCATACTAACAACAACAAAAAATACAAACATATTCACACCATCTGAACTGAATCAAGTAACCTTACTTTGTGAAATGTATTTAAAATTATCAAAAATACTATTAAGAGCACAGTCAAAAATTGCCAGCTGTAAATGATCTATATGGAAGTAATTTTTAAAACCAAAGCTTATTATAATGACTTAGGCACTATAATAAGGAAACAGGAAGCAGGAAGCAGGAAACAATTGTTTGTTTTTAAAACTGTGAAAAACAAGTTATTGTGAAAAAATATAATAAGCATAAAAAGAGTAAACGATTATTATTCCAAAACGCCTAAATGTCAATCAGTAGAACACTTAAATTTATGTATATGTTAATACTAAAATAACATGCCATCATTCAACATGATGTGGGATGTATCTGTACTCATGTCTCCAGTATATTTATAAGTTTAAAATATGCATACATTTTAAATGCACAGAAAAAAGGCAGAAAGATATAATCAAAATAACTATCACTCCTTTATGCCTTTCAAATATACCATATAGACAGATCTTTAAACTTCCAAACATCAGAAAAAACTATAAAGCTATTTTCACTTTGGAAATGTATATAAAAAATAAACAAGTTTATAAAAGGAGGTAGGGAGATGAAAGCAATACGCTTAAATATTAAGATGAGTGATCATGTTTGGATCCTGACATCGTAGTTATTAACATTTTTAAACATACATGTGGACATCTTTAAAATCAAGACGCATAGTTCAAGGTTATATTTTACAGTTGTATAAAGCAGTCACATGAAATATCACCAGATCATACAAGTACATGCAAACTGTAAACTCAGCGATGCAGCTATTTTACCTTCAACTTAATCTCACTAACAGTTATCTTGATTTTTGATTGCTGAATATCAAACTATAGCACTTCCCTGCAGTGCTAGGCCATATTTGAGACTGAAACAGAAAACAAGTTAATTCTGATCCTGTCTTAACTTAAAATTTTATTAATCATTGAGTTTTTGCATTGATTTTGATTTAAAATACTGCATCACAATATGATACATTTTGATTACCAAGGTTTTTGGCATCCCTTTAAAATCAAGTTTCATGGAATCCCCAGCCTGCTTCCTAAACCTTCTGTGGATTAGTTCTGTAACAGTTTGATAGCATGATTCCACAAAACTCAATCTCAAAAATTATCCATTATCTAAAGGTTTATGCTTTTATTTTCAAAGAATTTAAACATTTAACGGGTACAGACTTAAGTGGCAATTTCTTGTATTCATGAAGTCTGGTACTGACTTGTAAGTTACTAAAACAAAGTTACTAAACTTACTCAGCTACAGTTTCCTGCTTAGACGTTTCTTCTCCAGTATTACCGGACGCTTCAACACCCTGATCCTGAACAGCAGGGGTACTAGTAAGTTGTGCTTGTTCTTCAGTTGAAATTGTTACTGTGTTTTCATTATCTACAACAGTAGCAACAATCGAAGTAACCTCAGGCTCAGGAACGACTGGAACAGTTCCACTGACAGTACTAGAAGCAGAGGTGGAAGCACCGGCATTGGCCGCAGCAGCAGCCGCCGCCGCTGCCGCCGCCGCTGCAACAACGGCAGCCGCCGCTTCTGCGGCTGCCATGGTGCTCATCGTGGTAGGGATCTCTGTTGTAGGAACGGGGGCTGCTGATGTTGTGGTGCACTCTTCTTGCTTACTATGTATTTAAAAAAGAGAAAACTGGTCATTTCATTATGAATAACCATGCCAAATAAAGCTAGTTTTTCATTATCATAAAATCTAATGAATAAGAGAAACTATTAAAAAGGGGAAAGAAGCAGTGCTGCCAAACTATTAAGCAATTCAAAAAAAGAAAGAAAACCACAGGATAAAACTGGATTACTTTAATTCAGCAAACATTTGTGATAATGTATGGCAGGCACTCACACAACAGTCTGCATTTCCACAAGCCCAATAACTGCCCTTCCCAAATTAACTCAAATTTTGGACTTTTCTCTAAATAGTCTTAATTTGTTTGGATGCAGTCCAAATTCAAATAATCACTGTTTAGTAAAGCATCATGTGTATACCTTGAGAAAATATTCCTCTCCTTGCCCCTAATCCCCTAAAGACATCAAACCACTAGGCCTATCCCATGTTAAATATTATTTACATAGACAGTTAAAACAAGGATGTTGTTATAGCAGACACTAAATTTGTAAGTAAGTATTGATGTCCAAAATTGCTTACCTGCTTTCTTCAGCTTTGATCATTGCTATTAAAGAGGAAAAAAGAAAAGTTACATACTACATAGTTTTTAAATACAATCACTGAAAACAAACTTTAAAAGGAGATAAAAGTTCCATATAGCAAGATAAAATTTAGCAGCCTTAAAAAAAAATAACACCACCACCACCACCACTACTTTTACAGAGCAAATGCCTGCTCCAAAGCTCCAGGGCAGCAATTAAAGAATAAAAAACTTAAGTAACAGCAGTTTTTAGGAAAGATTCTTCCCATAATACTACTTTCTCAAAGGCAGCTGGCTACTACAAAAACTCCCTAAAAGTATCTGCTTTAATTCTGGAATAAAATAGTATTTTCCCCAGGGATAAAACTACGATTGTTCTTAAAAGATACTGAATTCAAAATGGGATTAATTTATGTTATAAAATTCCAAAACATATATACTAGCATTGACAAGTAGATAGATAGTTACACACACCAACTATCTGTAATAGGGTTATATCAGAAATGAGCTTGATACTACTTACATGAATGAACTGGGAATCTACCTATCTACAATATTATTATTAGCCAATGCTAGTATAGAAACCAAAGCTAGTATAGAAATTTAAGTTGAACTTTAAAGATTTGCACTCAATATTTCAGCTCTCATTCTAAAGTAAATTTTTTAGAGTTAACAAAAATCTCTCATTTATTTAGCATTATTAGGGAATGAGGTGCTCCACATAAATGATAATATAAGCTTTAACTCTATGAAAGTATTTTTAAAACTTAGCCATTTTTAAAGGAAATCACTCCCGAAAATCTGTTTAGGGTTGTTGGCTGACAAAACATACTGAAGGGGTAATTGTTACTAATAGAAATTAATTTTTTTGGATACAATGACCATCTTAAGCTAATGAGGATGACACAGGAAAAAAGGTAAAACAGACAAGACCACAATGCCTTCAAAAATTTTTTATTCTCTCTTTTCTGTTAGATGTCATTACACATGGCAGATTACTTTATGAAGTCCCATTCTCCTACAGTCTGTTGTGTCTAACTTGATAGTTTATGACAGCAGATTCTATTACAAGTGAGAGTAAAAGGACTAAATTCTCACTTACTCATAATCTCTGCTATTTTTAAGTCCTTGGTTTTATATTAGGTAGTATTTCTAGATTTTTCAGGGGTATTCTGAAAAGTTTGAGGATGTTGGAAAATCATCCCTTTGTAAGTGAGGCATGATATTTTATTTACTTTAATTCTCCCATAACAAACATAAACACTATTTTGCAATATTGTGCAAAAATAAAATCAGCATTAAATGTATAGTCTGACAATATATTAACAAAATTTAAACTAATAAGAGTTCAAAGAGTTCAAGGTTCAAGGCCATCTGCTCAATGACTTAAGTCACATATTCCATGTATGCACAAACACTTATAGTTGTCCTTAGAAATATTGTATATGATGCCCCTGGTTCAATTTTCCAATGGTAAATAATGTTTTTTGTTTAAAAAAAGTCAAAAAGTATAACATTAAAAGCTTCAAGCTCATTTATAATATAACCCTAATTCCTTGAATTAGAGATTTCTCACTGCAGATTTATCCAATTATTGTTAGTGAACATTAGTGACATACTCTAAAAATGTTAAATAATGACAGAAAATGAATTATCAAAGCAGCTCACCATGCAGGTTTGATTTTGTAATAAGACTTCCAGCAACAATGGTATTCTGGTATCCTAGTTTCAGTGGAATCAAATCAAATAAAAATCTATTTAAAATCTATAGAACTGAGATCTAGAGCAACAAGAAAATAAGAGCCCATAAAACTGTTACACCATTTAAAACGTTCTAATCACTTACTTAAAAAGAAAATAAGGCCTTTGTTTGAACAATCCTAATTATGAAGGATTGTTTCAATGTGAATGACACAGGTATGTAAAAAAGTAACATTAAAAATTATTTTTTTCCTGTTTTACCTTCAAGATCCTCAAGTTCTTTAGGTTTGGCCCAGCGGGATTCTTTTGTTTGAGAATTGTAATAGTAAGGCTTTCCAGAGTCAGATTTGTACTCCTTCCAAGGGCATTTAGATAAAAGTTGCTGAAAAATGAAATAAAAACCTTCAATTAACAGTAATAGATTTAGTAATTTTCATCATTCACATCATTGTTTTTACTAGATACTATCAACCTACACAATTCTAAAGCTTGCGAGATGGTGATAATATAAGCTACCAATTGTAAGATACTTACTAAGTGATGTTAAATTATTTGAGTATATTATACTTGTCTAGGATAATATATCCATTAAAACACAGAGACAAGATTCAAAACCAGGTAACCACCAGGTCCATCTGAATTTCAAATCCTATGTGTTCTTGCCATTTACATCCCATCATAGGTAAAAACTACCACCTGTATTTCACAAACACTAACACAATTAGGAAAAATATAAATTTGGGAGAAAGCAAAGCTGATTTAGATTTCATGCTTAGATTTCATTTTCATAAGCAACTTACCATAAACCTTTATGAACTACTTTACGTAAGGACGCAATACATGTATGATATACTAAAAACCTAATATACAAAACCCATTAGGGTGGTATCAGAATGCTACTGAAAACTCAAAACTAGTCAGTGTCTTGGGCAAATATCTATGTCAGTATTGGGAAAAATAAAAAAATTATAGTATGTACCAACTTCCTCTCAAATATTACTGTGCTATATTAGCGTGGTGGCCTGAAAAATATTTTTCCCTCTTCAAATACTTAATTAAAAGGAGGAAAAAAAAGTATGTTGCCAACTAGGAAAAACCTTCAAATACAGCTTGAAATGCCAGAACAACTCTCACTTAGGACTCCAGAGTTCCTAATTAAACCACATGCAATATTCTGTACTCAGTTTATTCCTTCAGTCTTACTTCGATATTCATATATTTTGAACGGTAAAGTTTACAACATAAAATGAAATATAATACTTTTATTAGGGGGAGGCATTTTCCAAAGACAGAATTTCCCATTCTAAAAGATGGAAGTATTTTGTATTTATAATTTAATTTCATATCCATTACCCCAACCTCATTGGAAAATTTTAAGAACCCAGTATAAGACATTCGAAATCACTCAGGTTTGCTATAAAGAGGAAAACAGTCTGAAATGTGAATTTAAAAAATAAAAGGCAAGAAGAAATAAAGTACTTTGTCCTTTCAATTTACTTTTTAAATGACCATTCTTAAATTGACGCCACCTGACAAGGGTTCCTGAGCTGGTGCAAAGTCAGTAAATAAAATTGGTCTGTCCACAGAAGGGAATGAATTTTGTCTTTTGCTGATTGGCATGTCTGTATAAAACGCTCTTCTTTTCTGAAGGCCTTTGTAGCATCCTTTTCTGAAAAAGGCAGTACTATTCTTTGGGAAGTCAAATAACCAATAAAATCCTTAAAGAAAGAAAGAAAGAAAAAAAGGCCCAATCTATTTAAACTCATAATTTACAGCCCTCAAAATTTTACCTCAGCAGGAGTTTTAAGATCATCTGGTTTCTCCCAAGTAGACTGTTTAGTCTCAGTATTGTAGTAGTAGGTCCGTCCATCAGGTGATTTATGTTCAGTCCACATTGATTTCTAAAGAAAAACAATTATAAAAAGATGTAAACTATTTAAGTGCCACTGACAGCAAATATCAGTATCATTAGTCTGAAAGCAATAAAGAAATTAAAAGGATAAAATGGGCATACTTTTGACAGTTTAAATCATTTAGAATAATTCATCAATGCAAGTAAGAATGTAACTGAAAAATAAAATATTTTAAAGGTTCCTCAAAAGCAGTATGGATCCATTCAGGTTTTAGGATCTCTCTTCATTCTATAGTCTCAGAATTATAAGGATATGACTGCTTGTAACTCCTGCACATAAAACAATCTTTCAAGCAACACAAATCTATGCCTTGTGGATAAAAGAGAATATATGAATGAGATGCTAATGTAGTACAGGTGAACTGATCATGAGCTCAACACCACCAACCCAAAGAATATTTATGTCAAGTTGGACAAAATTCTAAATTGACATGCCATAAAGATGTAGCTGTCAAAATTAGAAAAGATGGCTTCTGGATGACAATCAGAACTTAATAATCAACAAGATGAAATTTAACAGAGATAAAACGTGAATTCAAATGCCTCAGGACAAGATAGGTGAGTCACTTTTGCTAAAGGGCATCAAGCAAAGAGGAAGTTCACCAGAAATAAACGAATGAGATAATGAAGTAAAAAAGGGACTATGCACACTTGACCAAAAATGGGAAGAAAGAGGGGAAGTATGTCAACTAGTAAAACAAAAGTAAGCAATTTAATATTCACTATTTATTACTTTATTTGAATCTTAGAACTATAGTACAAAGCAGGTATAATCACTATCCCCATTTTACAAATAAGAAGACCAAGACTTAGAAGGGTTACTAACTTGCTCACGGTGATTCAGGAAATAAATAATAAAACTAGAACAATTCAGTAATTTCTGCCTTTAAAAACCACATTTTACCCACTCTGAAATACTATTTCAAGTTTACTGTATTCAGGCACAGTCTAATTAGCAATAAGGACAGAAAAATTCCTGGCCAACCACTGAATATTGAGCCCTCTACTAACTGCTTTGCATCCATTCTTAGTTACTTCTTTTAATAACGTATGAGAGAAGTACCATCTATTATTTCCACTTTATAGAAGAGAATATGGTGCACAAGAAAGTAACATGCCCAAGGTAACAAAGCTAGCTTAAGTTCACTACAACACTGTTCCAGCCCAAAGGTCCTACTAAGGGTCAAGGCTCAAGGCTCCAACTCTTTGCAGCAATAGAAATTGAATCATTTCAGACAGGAATGTAAATTTTGTAGTAATATTTTAACCAATATATCAAATTCCTTTACAGAAGTCAATTTTGAAGTGACAAAAGTAATTTACCAGATAATTTTTTTTACTCTTTTTCTTCAAAAATATCTAATCTGGAACTTAATGTAAAACTATAATTTTTATCTTGTTCTGGCCAAAACTAATAATTAATATTTTCAAAAGAAAAATTTAAAACAAGTGTACCTCAATGCTGAGTATAAGATGAAGAGTGGAATAAAACATTAATAAATACCTCAACTAGATTTATCTTCATAGGACAAAGTATGACTTATGTAAGCAGTTATTAAGTATTGACAGTTACATTAGCATAGTCTATTCATAAACTCATTTTCCTACAAAATTAATATTTCTTTTTTAAACATAAGACCTCTCCAGAGCAGTAAGTAAATGCTGCCTATCAGAGACTTAGACTGACCTTGCAGAATTGGGGAAAACTTAAGAAAGACTTAAAGGTAAATTCTAAATGACCCAAAGCCAGGAAATTACTTTTAACCTCAAGGTTAGCTGCTTTGGGGTGGTGCAGGAATTATTAAGATATTCCTTCCACTGGAGCCTTAGCATGACTCTGCACTTTTATCACATAACACCATTCCCAAAGTTATTTTCTTACTGACACAATTATTCTAATAATAAAAAATTAATGACACAAATGGCAGTTCTGAGAAATTAATCAAAAGCTAACAATTTTACAAATGATAAACTGTGCGTATATATTTGCAAAATAAGTGATTAAAAAATCATTACCTATAATATACAAAAATCTATTACAATCAGTAAGAAATGACAATCTAATGGAAATAAAAACATGGCCATCAGCAGAACTCAATACAGGTAATATAACTGGATGTCCAATTTCATTAGTAAATCAAGGAAGCACACATTAAAATGACACCTTTTTACTTATCAAATGAATGACAAAGACTATTTGTATACAATGTTAAAAGGGTATGATGAAAAGGGCAGTCTCATGCTACTGCTGGGAATGAAATTAGTATTAATTCTCTAAATGAAGGCCATTTCCAATACCTTGGGCACTGAATGAAACTGGAAGGGAAAAAATGACTAAATCTAAACACTAAGCAGGGAAAAAAAATCGCCTCACGACTCTAAATAAGGAAAATAAGAAAAGTCAAAATATACGATTGGAATTGAGGAAGAGCACAACCAAAGACACAGAACAGATTCACAATCAATTTCAAAATCTAGAGGAAATGATTTCCTTGTAAACCACTTTACCAAAATTTACCAAGAAACACATCACAATGAACAGTCCAATCATCATAGACACAACTGAAAGATACCCAACCAGATGATTTTACAGCAGAACCCTCTACATTAACCTTTAAAGAACAGAGAATTACAGTATCATTAATTCAGATCATAGAAAGAGATGAAAAGCTCTTTATTAATAACAGAACACAACAGAACAGGTACCTCAAAAAGAGGGTGACATTGTTACTTATGAATATAAATGTAAGAATTTAAACAAAATATTAGCCAGGAGAATACTACAACGTAGACACTCTGACAAAGTAGAATTTACTGTAGAAATGCAATGGTGACTCAATTTTGGGAAATCTATAAAAGAAATTATATCTATGAATAAACTGAAAGAGAACACCACATTACACTAATAGATCACACTAACAGACTTTATGATCAAATTACCTCCTGAAAATCATAATTCAGAAGTATTCAAAAAATAAAAATTAAAACAAAAATCCTGAAATAATACAGTAAGAAAAACACCTAAACAATAAAGGACAATTTATCAAAGACCAATAAAAATCATTCAAAAGCCACTTCCATTAAAACCATAACCAAAACATGAGTCTGCAACCACTGATTCAACAAATACTGCATGGCAATAAAATGAAATAATTGGTATAAATACTGGGAAAGAGATAAATTCTCTTGCCTTTACTGCTAAAGACTCAAATGAAATCAAGTTAAATAACAACAACAAAGTTAAACAACAACAACAACAAAAACTATTCTAATTATCCAGGGACTCTGGTAATATAGCTGGCTACAGAATAAATACACAAAAATCTCTGAATTGACAATAAGTAGCTAGTAATAAAAATGGAAAAAATAGTCTATTCACAGCATAACAAATTTTTACAAGGTAAAAAGAAATAAAAATAGCTATGATTGCTATATGTCTCACCTATACAGAATTTAAAGCAAAACTGTAATGGTAAAAGTGGGCCTTCTATACTGATAAAGAGTTAACACGTCAAAAACTTATCCTCAACATATATGCATTTATTCACAAATTAGCCTTGAAATACACAGAACAACAACAGAAAAATATGGAGGAAAAAGATGACTAATCTTTTCAAGTTAAAGATTTCAGTACACCCCTCTCCTTAGGTAGATTAAGCAGATGAAAGATACGCCAAATACAGAAATAACAAAGTAACTTTAAATTATCAGCACATAAAATACCCTTAAATTGGTCTTGAAATAGAATGTAAATGAAGCTTTAATAAAATGAAAAGACTCAACATCTAATAGACTGTGCTTTCTGAGCATAATGCGAAAAAGGTATGCCTTATAAAAAATAACTCACTCAAGGGCATGATCCATGAAAGAAATAATTGATAGGCTAAACTTAATTATGATTAAAAACTGCTCTGCCAAACACAGTCAAAAGAATGAGAAAAGTCACAGAGAGAAATTATGTGCTAATGATACATCTGATTAAGGGCTGTTAACCAAAATATACAAAAAACTCTAAGCTAACAATTAAGAAAATGAACAACCCAATTAAAAAATGAGTAAAATATCTTAACAGACACCTCACCAAAAAAGACAAACAGGTGCAAAAATACATATATGAAAAGATGTTCAACATCATTATTACAGAGTTGCAAACTAAAGTAAGATACACTGCACATATCTATTAAAATGCTAAAAAGCTAAAACACCAACACCACCAAATGTTAGTAAGGATGTGAAGCAACAAGAACACTCATTCACTGCTGGTGGGAAGTTAAAATGAACTTTGCCACTTTAGAAGACAATCTGGTAATTTCTTATAAAACTAAACATATTCTTATCATATGATTAAGCAATCATCTTCCTTGGCATTTAACCAATTGAGTTTAAAACTTATGCCCACACAAAAACCTGTACACCAATGTTTTTAGCAGTTTTGTTCATAATTGCTAAAACCTGGAAGCAACCAAGATGTCCTTTAGTAGGTGCATGGATAAATAAACTGGCACATTCAGAAAAAAAAAATTATTCACCACTATTATAATTATTGTGTTACTCAGTGCTGCAAAGAAATGAGCTATCAAGCCATGAAAAAAAAAATGGAGGAAACTTAAATGTGCATTACTAAGTGAATGAAGCCAATTGGAAAAGTTTATATACTATTATTACAAAAGGTTACATATGATTCTAACTATATGACATCAGAAAAAGATAAAACTATGGAAGACAGTAAAAAGACCACTGGTTGCAGGGGATGAGGGTGGAGGTGGGGAGAGGGATGAAGAGGCTGAGCAAAGAGGATTTTTAGGGCAGTGAAACTATTCTGTATAACACTATCATGAGGGATATATGTAATTATACATTTGTCAAAATTTATAGAATGCACAACACCAAGAATGAACTGTAGTGAAAACTGAACTTAAAACTGAACTTTGGGTAATAACGATGTGTCAATGCATGTTCACAGATGGCAGTAAATGTACCACTCCGATGAGAGAGGTTGACAGTAGGGGAAGCTGAATGTATGCGGAATAAGGGGGTATCTGCGAACTCTTCACTTTGCATATCAATTTAAAATTTCTCTAAAAAGTAAAGTCCATTTGAAAAAAATACCACATCTGGAAACCAAGAAAAACAAACATTTACTAACCTTTAAAAAAAACCAAATGAGGGAAAAAGAAACCAAGGTATTGAGAGCTAAATGACAATGAAAACCTTGTACGTCAAAACTTAAGCAACACAGTTAAGGATGTCTGGAAACCATGAGCAAAGAAGCTAGAAAATTAGTAAGAGAGTATGTAACCAAGAAGGAAGTAAAGACAGCAGAAATCAATTGAATAGCTACCCTCTCCCTGCATCAGAAACAAACAAACAAACAAACAAACACCAAAGGAAAAAGAAACATGGACAATGATAGCTATTATGATTTTTAAATTTAAGCTAAATAATTATTAAACCTAAAGAAAATAGATAAATATCTGGGAAAAAAATTAAAAGAAATTTAAAACTGGAAAAGTGCAAAAACAGTAAAAATATTATGTCCATTAAATTTTTAGTTGTGTTCTATTAAGCATTAAGAAGTAAATTACTTGTTATTTATGCAAGTTATTCTAGGGACCAGAAAAGAGAGGTTATCGCCCATACACAAGTAACCTAAAAAAGATACTAGCAAATCAAATTCAGAAGGAATTAAACACACATGTGCACATATACATACCCTAAGCACACAGAATGAATAATTAGGGTTCATGTTAGTAATGCAAAAATGGCAATTTCAGAAAATCTACCTGTGTACTTTCACATTAACAGACTAGAGAAGAAATATGATACGATCATCTTAGTTGACACAGAAAAAAAAAACACTGAAGAATTTAAGTACATATTGAATTCTATCAGCAAACCAGAAACAGAAGAAAACTTCAGCTTAATATAGATTATATACCAAAAAGCTATAATAAAAACATCATATTTAATGGAGAAATTTTATACATACTCCCTTTGGGAGAGGAAAGAAGACAAGATGCCAGCTGATCACTGCTACTTCTCACCACAGTACTAGAGGTTCTGGCTGACACAATAAAAGTCGACATAGATATGAGGATCAAGAGAGAAGGAGCCAAAACTGTCATCTGAGGGTAATACTATAACATACACAGAAAATCCACTAAGCAACAAGAGTTCAGCAAACCTGCTGGATAAGCACACAGAAAAATGATCATATAAAGTACTATAGAAAGATTCAAAATAGCACCAAATTTCATACAATATCTATAACCTAACAGAATGAAGGATGCACAAAGCTGTAACGGAAAATATTTAACACTATCATAGAACAGACATAAAAGACCTGACTAGAGCAGCTGGCCCTCTGTATCTGCAGATTAAACCAACCATAGACTGAAAATATTTTAAAAATTCCAGAAAGTTCCAAAAAGCAAACCTTGAATTTGCCGCACACTGGCAACTTTACACAGTATTTGCATTGTATTTACAACTATTTACATGGTATTATAAAAAATCCAATGTCTGCAGCAACACTCCATCGAGCAAGTCTATTGGTGCCATTTTTCCAAAATCATGTGCTCACTTTGTGTCTCTGTACTATATTCTGGTTATTGTTGCAATACTTCAAACTTTTTTATTTTTACTTTGTTATGGTGATCTGTGATCAGTGATCTTTCAGTTATGATTCACTTAAGGCTCAAAAAAAGGTTAGCATTTTTCAGCAATAAAGTATTTTAATTAAGGTATGAACATTGCTTTCTTAGACATAATACTACTGCACACTTAAAAGACTACAGTGTAGTGGAAACATAACTTTTATATGCACTGGGAAAACAAAAATTTCATGTGATTTGTTTTATTGTGATATTCACTTTATTGCGGTGGTCTGGAACTGAACCAGCAGCTCTGAGGCAGGCCTATAGTGAGTACCTCAATCTGCTTAACACTGGCAGCAGGTGCTAGGTGGAAACAAGTTATTTCTGTTTTGATAGCCTATCAGAATGACTGATTAGTGAGATCCAACCAGTTGACTAACTCTAATAAACGTGAAGAGAAGTAAAACCTGGATTTCTGACTGCAGAAGGCAAAAAGAATGGCAAGGTCAGCAAAGGAAACCAGGGGCAGCAGCTCTCTTGGGTCTGCTTGACTGCAGATCAGAGATTCAGGAATTTCTCTTGCCAGGTACGTGTTCACACCCTGAATTACATTCGATGTTCATCAGAGTTCTGGTTAGAGCCATGTTTTGCTGTCTTTAAACCAATGCTTATTTTAAGAGTTTAAAAGGAAGTAACTTTGAACTAGTTCTTCATGTTTAGGAATACAGAGCAAGTGGGACTACAGCAAACTAAAAAGCTTTTACAGAGTAAAGGAAACAGACTGAAAAGATAAACCTTTGGAATAGAAGAAAATATTTATAAACCATTTATCTGGAAAGGGGTTAACATCCAAAATATGTAAGGAATGCCTACGAATCAAGAGTAAAAATCCAAAAATAATCCAATTACAGGAAGAGACAAAAAAGAAACAAAAATTGCTATCCGGTATATAAAAAGATGCTCAACATCAATAATCATCAGAGAAACGCAAATTAAAATCACAATGAGATAGCACTTCACACCTGTCAGTATGGCCATTATAAAAAAGAAAGAAAGGAAGGAAGGAAGAGAGGAAGAAAGGAGGAAAGAAAGAAAGAACAAAAGAACAAGGGTTAGCGAGGATGCATAGAAACTGGAACCCTTGTACACTGGTAGGGGATGGTAAACTGCACAGCTACTATGGAAAACAGTATGGAGGTTCCAAAAACAAAAAACAACAAAAACCGAAGCCAAAAAAAAAAAAAAAAAAAAAAACCCACAACAAAACAACAAAACAAACCCCCACCAACCTCATAAAAACAGATATATAAGCTAGTAAATGGGTGAAGGTAGAGGAGTATAGAGTACAAACTTCTAGCTATAAAATAAAAAAGAGGGATAAAATATATAGCATAGTGACTACAGGTGATAGTACTAAATAGCATCTTTGAAAGTTGCCAAGAGTAAAACTTGAAAATCCTCCTGCAAAAAAAAAAGTTATAACTATGTATGGTGAGGGGTTAACTAGACTTTGTTAGTTAGATAATCATTTTGCAATGTATACAAATATCAAATCATTATGCTGTACATCTGAAACTAACAATGTTCTATGTCAATTATACCTTAATAAAAAATTAAATATAAACGAAGAATGTGAAAAAAGAAAGAAAAACACACAAAAAGCTACACACAAAAATTCACAAGCCTTTCCCACAAGACATAAGATAAATGTCTTATGACGTATATCAAAGTGAGCACCTACTGGGGAGGGTGGACTGGAGTAAAGATGAAGAATAAAGAGAAAAAATATGAGAGACTCTCCATAGATCAGTAATAATGACCATAATCTGAAAAGCACAAGTAAACTTAACTTGTGTACCTGAAGTCTAAAAAGAATAATAAATTAAAAAAAAAAGCAAGTTTTCAAAAAAAAAAAAAAAACCCAATGTTTTTGGATAGGGAATTTAAGAGGTATAAAAATGTGCCACTCTAATCATAAAAAATACATTAGATCAGGAACAGAGAAACAGAAGAAATGGAAAAGAAAATTCAGAAATAGATGCCAGAATATGTGAGATTTTAATATATGACAAAAAAGATACTTTCATTAAGTGAGAAAAAAAGAGATTTTACAGACAACTGATACAACCAAAATACTAACTATGGTGGTTCTCTCATGGTAGGAAAACTTAGGGTGAAATTTGCTTTCTTCTTTTAAATTTATGTCTGCCTCATTCTCTCCTAGTGAGTCCCTGTATTTAAATAAGCAGCAAAAACATGAAGCTATCATTAGTCAAAAATATAAACAGATACTTATAATGGAAGAATACCAAATGGATATTTTATAATCATTCAGCTCTTAAAGTAAAAGATAAAAGAAAACTTAAAATATTCAAATACAGTTCACAATTAAGTCTTTCCCCCAAAATTTAAAATACTAA